GGATTTCTGAGGGAAATGGGAAAGACAGGAAATCCCAACCCCCTTCTCCCTCACGACCACTGACACAGGTGGAAAACATAAAACCTGCCCAGCTGTCATTACCCACCAGGGCCAAGGAAGGACTATTTTTCCACACTTGCAAGGGCCTAACACAAAACAAGGAGCTGCTCCATGTTGGAGAAGGGGAAGAGGCTGAAGACACACCTTATTCATAGAAGAAATGAAAGTATTAAGGTGTTTTGGAGCTCTTTATTCTCATTATTACACTGAGAATCACATCAGAGAAGCAGCAGAAAATTCTCTGCAGCCTGTTCAAAACCTCTTCGTGTCTCACATGGGGGGACAACACATCCTCCCTCCAGGAGGGGCCACCAGGTCCCAGGGAATGACTGTTTTTTCCACACTTGCAATGGCCTGACAGGAACCAAGGAGCAGCTCCAAGCTGGAAAAGGGGAAGAGGCTGAGGACAGCCCTTGGCAGGACCTGCTGCCACCACCGCAGCGATGGCTGGCATTCCCCAAAACCCAGAATCCTGGGAATCCTCCAAAGAGAGCTCCACACTTGGAGGTTTTAGTTCAGCCCAGGCATGGATGGAAGTGTTTCATTTTCCTCAAGTTTAAGTCCATCCCAACAAAAGCAGAAAGAGCAGAACTGGAGCCCTAGCCCAGCTCCGAAGGCTCTTCCCAGACCCTGAGCTGGCACAAAAGTGTTCAACACCCGACTGGGACTGAGACATTTGAGAAGACAAATCTGCTGTGACCTTCTCAGAAGGACTCACCTTTGCCAGGTGCTGCTCCAGCCTGAGCTTGGCATCATCCAGCTCCCTGCAGTGGTTGTCGAAGGCCTCGTTGACGGCCGCCCGCTGCATCCGCAGGTCCTCGGACACGTCGTGGATGATGTTGTTGATGAGGGAGCGGAGCTGCACAGAGGCCAATTTTTCCTGTTCTGCACTATAAATGTTGTCATGGCTGAACTGGGCCCAGGTCTTGGGTGTGGAGGCGCTGGAAGAAGAGAAAAATGGGAATAACATGGGAATCTTGCCCTCCAGAAGACAACCTGAAGCCGGTTCTCTCCCTGCAAAAGCACCGTCAACCTCTGCACTGTTGCTTGCAGCGTAGACTTGCCATGAAGGGAGAAGACTAATCCTTTAACAAATTAATAATCTCTCATTCCTGTGGCTTCTGAGGGGAGCCATGAATGACACAAAATCAACCAAAGCTCTTCCATCTTTAGCTGACACTGCTGAGGATCAAAAAGCAGACACACAGACAACCTGGGCTAGTGGGAGGTGTCCCTGCCCATGGAATGGGATGGGTGGAATGGGATGAATTTAAGCTCCCTTCCAACCCAAACCATTCCATGATTCCATGATGCCTGGTTACACTTGGCCATGTGGAGCAGCAGAAGGAACCACAGCCCTTGGGACAGGACATCCCTGAGAGGGGAGGGGGAAGCCCCAAGGTTGATGTTCCACCGCTCCTGTCTGTGTGCAGGAAGCAGCACTGGCCTTTCCCAAAGGAATGACTTGCCTTCCAATGTCAAACAGCAAGTCCCAACAGGATTTAGATCAGCCTTCAGCAGCACAAAGCCAATTATTTCCAAAAAAACCCCCTCCAAGCTCAGCTTGCCTGTGCATGGCCAGCTTTGCCATCAGGGGTGGTGGCATTAACTCTGCTCTCCATGGAGCTGTTTTAAACCTATTTTCTGTGTCCAAGGAAGCAGAATCCCCCCTTTCATTCCCATCAGTGTCAGCCTGCAGTGCCTCCAAGGATGTTGTATTTTCCTGGGGTCATTCCAGGAGGAGTAACTGACAGGAATCACTCACTTCTCCTCGAACTTGACGGAGCTGGGGTGGAACTGGATGTTGGTGCTGTCGTTGTTGTAGGTCACACATTTGTCATCTATGTGATAGGTCTCCACCTTGTCCGACCAGTCCAGCTCACAAAACTCCTTCTGAATCCGATTGGAGCTGAAAAGTTAAACCCACACATTGTTAGTGGGGAACAACCCAAGCCCCAGACCCAGCACAGGCACTTGGAAGCTCAGCTTTGGGCCTTTGTGTCACCA